GCTCACGTGGTCCAGTTGCAAATAGGCCATAGCCCAGTAGTGGCCGCAGCCTGGGGGTTGTGGATCCCTGCTGTAGAGACTATTCTTTTATAAACCAGAACAAGAAAAATAGAAATATCATACATGATTGAAAGGGTTTCTTAAATGTTTAGTACATTCTGAGAAGTCACTAAATCTTCTAATTGCAGCTGATCTTAGTGTAAAAAAGACTTATGAATTCTATAAACCATTCTGACCTAATTCTATCTCTGTTTTTAGAAAGTGTTTTAAGCTCCTCAGCTGAATTCCCCTGTACACAGGGGATTCCATAACATAAGAGTTGTGAAATAATTATTACTTTTCTAAAAACATGACTGCTGAAGATATTCTTTTCTAAACTTTTGTTTTCAGACTCTTTCCATGCTAGTTCATCTAGTAATTCCAGTAGCTTCTGAATATAATCCCAAATAAGGTTATCCTAGACCAGGGGTAGGCAACCTTGGCTCTTTTATGACTCGTGGACTTCAACTCCCAGAATTCCTGAGCCAGTCATGCTGAGGGGAAAGGGAGAGGTTTCCAAGCTGAGTCATGCTGGCTCTGGAATTCTGGGAGTTGAAGTCCATGAGTCATAAAAGAGCCAAGGTTGCCTACCCTTGTCCTAGACCTAGAGTGTAAGGCTACCAGACCTGAACTGCAAAATATGGATGACCTCAGTAGGATAGGAAATAGTTCACTTTCTCCCTGTCTTTCCTGCCATTTGATGGTTGGAGAGATTCCTGCAGTCCAAATTTGTTAGCATTAGCATTATTGTATATTGCCTGTCCATGGTTATCATGAATTCCCCACTTGCATGATGGAACCTGGCAAAAATCTTAAAAATTACCTAATATGCCCCTGCATAGAGAAGATTGAAAATGATATAGAAACAGACATAGAAGCAGCATAGCTAATTCTACTGATTCTTTAAATGTGGAACGCCTAATAAACTCACAGGAACCTCAGGTTTCCTAATATGCAGTCAAACACCATTGTTTTATAGTTACTTAATTGCTATGATAGATGCCTTAAACACAGGATTAATTTTCAATCAGGTCTCTGACTGAGGCTCATAACTGGCAAACAGGACACATCTTTCACAAAATATACTAAAAAAAATCAGCTTTACTATTTTTAACTACTCACTTTGCCACAATGTACTTGAGAATTTGTAATTCAATGTATTCTTTCCAGATAGCTATGTAATGTACAACAATTAAAATAAAATTCTGACCATTACTGAAATAATCAAGTCATTTCTAAATTATCTGAGATTTACTAAAAACCAAATCATGTTCCACCTTCTTGCAGCAAAATTCAATTAGTTCTTAGCAAGATTAGCTCCCTCCCTAATATTTTATTAATTTTTTTATAGTCACAAATGCTTAATATTTTATCAGCAACATATTGTCTGAGTTTCAATATTTAGCTTACTAATACATGTTAAACTCCTTTCTCTCTACCTCATTTTTCTAGCCATTGATAAAATGTATCCCATGTTCTAAAATATTCTGAATCGTCTTTCTCTTTCATTTTCAGTGTCAGTCTGTCCATTTCTGCACAATCTAAAATTTTCTTAATCATCTCTTCCGCTGCTGGTAATTCTTCATCTTTCCAATGTTGAGCAAATAAAATTCTTGCTGCAGTTAACATGTGTAACATTAAGTATACACATTCCTCCTCATACGTTCCTACAATTATACCTAACAAAAATAATTCTGGCTTAAAATCTAGATTATTCAGGTGCTTGCAGCAATGAAACCAGAACAGACATCTGCATGATTTAAGGTCATTTTATTTCAAGATCCAGAGAAAGGAGGAGATGTAATCTGAACAGGGTCTTCCTAATTACTAAGGTGTGATGAATATGCATCAATATGATAAATCTTCAGTCAGTTAAACCTACAATACAATGGAAACTAATTGAATAAGAAAAATACAGATGGTGAGAGTCAGGAAGAGATTAAGGAAGTAAGATAAAACATATAGGTAAAAATAGTTGGGTCTGAGAAAGGAAGAGGGAAGTCATAAAATAGATAAATAGTTTTTTTATAGGAAATGGCTAGCCAGGAAGGAAGGTTGAATGGAGAATAGGAAAATAAGCCGAATAAGATAAGAAGAGAGGCACATTGAATTGAAAAGCAGGAAAAGAACTTATTGTTTAAAATGGAGATATAAATATATACTAAGTTTAAAATAACCATTTACATGTCTATGTGAATATGATTTAGTATGTTATCAGGAAATGTGTATAGGCGGACGGAAAGAGTGTAACCTCATACTACCTCAGCCAATGGGGAAAGAGGAGGGCTGTAGTGGCCGGTGATAGGGATGAATAAAAGAAGGAGATATTTTGGGTTAAAACTTTGGAGAGAAGCAAGCTTTGATAGCTTCTCTCCCCGCTTATTGCAATAAACGAAACAAAAGGCCTTCACTGTGTCTTGGCTGGTTATTGGTCAAGTGAGCTTGCCTCTGGTCACGAAGGAAAGTAGCCAGGAGCACATAACAGGTGGGAGAAAAATTTTTGTTTACTGCACTGTGCTTAACTTTGAGTTGTGTTAAAATAAATGCTTTGGAAATAATGAGCTGCATCCTTTCCTGTTGACTTTTGGTGGAAAACAAAACAAAAGGAGACTTAACACGCTTTAAAAAGTACAACAGCTGCTCAAATCAGTTAGAATCCTATTTCTTCACTTGATATTACTGCTGCCTTATAACATAAAGCTCAGATGTGGTCCAAATTTTGTTTTCAGTCACTCTGTCACTAACAAAATCCATCTGCTTTACCCTCCATCAACAGATCATAATCTATAGCCAACAAGCAGGGAATCAGAGTTCCCTCACTGCTAAAGACCATGTAGGAAACCTAGGGAAGGATGGCTGGAACAAGATAAAAAACTACATCTAAAGATCATAGTTTCTCTTGACTAAAACAGTCTGGAGAAAAATCTCTAGTCAAACATATGTCTACAAGTAATAGGTAACTGCAAGAGTGATAATAGATGCACATACTACTGGTGAGTTCATAGGCTTAAAATATATCATATAATAAATAACAGCATCCTACTATTTCACTTCCATTTTTGGCTTTATTTGGAAGGGATGATTAAAGCATAGTGAATTAGATCAGAGTCTTTTCTTCTGCAATCTACAGTAATTCAGATTGAAAGATTATTGTTCCTTTATATAAGTATTGGCTTCAGGAATGAAAATAAACAGCCTCTCCTAATCCATGAAGATGAAAGAATAAAGAGATTCTTATTAAAAGCAATGAAATTCTAAATGTGCTTAGTTGATTGATAAAAGAAAGTCTCTTTTGATAAATATTTATTACAAATAAAACGTCTCACTGGACTAGTATGATTTTATTACTGCTAACTTGCTTTTAATCAATAAAGCAATCAAAATACATTTTAGATGCTAATTTGAAAACCTATAACAACAATTTTGTTTATTAGCAATGCAATCAAATCAAATATTCCTCAGAAAATAATTTGAGAATATAGATCAACAAAACTAAAACTAATTTAAAAAGGCTCTGGTACCTATACTGTGCAATCTGTTGTTCTTATTAATCATTTTAATTAAAGCTCTTGGCCCTAACTGTGATGCCATTGTAGTGTTGTATTAAAATCTAACAGCTCATATTCCACTAACTTCAGTGGAATAATTTTTTAAGAAAATATTTCTTCTAGCGGTAGTCCTTGACTTATGACCACAATTGAGCTCAAATTATCCTTTGCTAAGTTAAGACAGTTATTAAATGAATTTTGCCCCATTTTATGATCTTTCTTGCCACAATTGTTAAGTGAATCGTTGCAATTAAGTTAGTAACACAGTTGTAAAGTGAATCTGGCTTCCCCATTGACTTTGCTTGTCATAAGGTCACAAAAGATGATCCCAGAACACGCAACAGCCAGTTGCCAAGCATCTAAATTTTGATCACCTGACCATGAGTATGCTGCAACAGTCATATGTGTGAAAAGTGGTCATAAATCATTTTTTTCAGTGCCATTGTAAATTCAAATGTTCACTAAACAAATGGGTATAAGTTGAGGATTACCTGTACTATTCAGACAACTACACCTCATTATCTGGTGTATTACACTGTATTACACTGACTCACTCCCATACCTCAATTATCTGTATTCTCTTATACTCTTCCTTTACTTTAAAGAACTTGGAACCTCAATAGCTTGTTTTCTTAGTGGTGCACTGACTGAATCAGTATTAACATACCGATATTTAGGAGAAGGAAGTAGCAAAATAGGTCTGTTTCACAGTGCAATGAACATACCCCCATATTAGAAAGCCCTGGCAAAACACAATGAGGGGAAGTTTATACTCTAGTCCTGTTGTTAACTTTAGCACTAAATGTTTAGTACAGAAAAGCACTGCACATTTTATTCTAGGTGAGGCATACGCCCATTACATATATTTAGCTCTAATGGAAAAGAAACCCTCCCAGAGTCTATCTTGATTGCAAGGGGGGGGGCATATAAATTAAATAAAAAAATAAATAAGGAAGAAGGATGTGGGTAAAACTGAATGAAATGTACACATCTGTTGGGATGAAATCAAAGTAGATTTTAAGTTGGACTATTATTCTAGAATTTGAAATTAAATCTGTGGTATATACTAAAGAGAAAGAAAGTAAGATACTTCAAGATACACTAAAATACTTTTAAAAAATTATACTTCTGTATTGCAAATGTCAAGTAAAAGCTTCTTAATAGTCTAAATAACAATATCTTTGCTCAAGTGTCTACTTACATTGAAATTTGTCTTATTTTAAATGGTTAAAAGTAAATATCTAGGAGCAACTGTTAGTCATACAGGAATCTGCTACAGAATTCATAGCCTTTAAGACTTTCATCAAGCTGGAACTGACAGTATATCCATTCTGGATTGGACATGGTAGAATAGAATGTAAAATATTTAGCACCAAAATGTCATTTTATTACAATAACTGCTGGAATTCTTACCACAAAGCAATTCGCTGTTCTACCTCCTTTAGAAAGTTGGTGTGAAATTTGTGCAAAGGTTCAAAGTTTGAAAAGATGAGACTCTTCAGTGCTTCTGGCATGCAGTCATCTTTACTTACTGTGCTCTGGAACCACTAGAAAAACCAAGCATAGTAATCAGAGGAACTCTTGGCACAGATATTCCTGGTTAGGATGTGTGTATAAGGGAATCAGACACTACTTGTTTAGTGGTAACTATCAATAAATTAGTATTATAACATTGAACTTAGGTTTTTTTTTAGCTTATTGCCAATGGGACAGCTTCTTTTATTTAAGAAACATGCTTCTACATTTAATAGACCCCAAGCTAAAGTTCTCCTGACCTAAAATAAGTGGAAAATATCTAATATCTCATTATTTTTTTAATCAGCAACTTCCATATTTGATAGGTTTGTGTACATTGATGCAAAAAACATTAAATTTCTTGAGTTGTGCAGTCATTCTAAAATACCAAAGTTATCCAGAATCAGCAGAAGAATCACCAAGAAGAAACTATCCGTAGTGTTCTGTTTAGATATTAAAACTATTCAGTGGGATAATTCCATGTTGTATTTGGAAAAGGAAAGATTTCTAAAGAGGTTGTTTTGAATATTCCCATTCAGTGCTCTTCATGGTATATCTAAGCATATTCTAATGCAGAGCCTTGAGTTCAAATATCCAGGAAAGCTATAAAGTTCACAATCTATGGGATAGTACTTGAGAAAAAATATTTCTCTTTAGGATTCTACTGGAAAAGAGCAGCTGAGCAATGTTTCAGTTAATTTGGTGTTTTTACTCCATTTAGCAAGATGTTGTAGAGTAGACAGAACTGACAAAGCTATAGAATCCCAAATTAAGTTATTATCTGTACAGCCTCTGTTGAATTCCATTGTAGAAAGCTAAACTCTGGGAACACACAGATTAGGATACTGTTACTTAAACAATTTTTCTGCTTATTAAGCAGGCATCCTTTGATTTTCTTCCAAATAAAAGGAAAAAAACTATCAGAAATTAAATGATCCATTGTGCTTTTTAAAAACACACACACACACACACACACACTTAAATGTTTATCCTCTGCTACTTAGATGAAATTCCAACCAATCAGAAACATTTTGTGATTGAATATGTCTGTGATAAAGATTATGCTGACTGGGGACTTCCGGTCTTGTGTCGTAGCAATATGGCCAAGGGATTGCTGGGCTCCGCACCCCACAGCTGGTTTTGCCCTGCTAGGGGACCCTAAATGGGTCTAAAGTCACCCCAGAGAGGCAGCGAAGGAAGGCCCCCCTGATGAGCAGTCGATCCATTTGATCCGGCGGAAGCCCTCCAAACCGACAGGAGAAAAGTTAGCTACACCTCAGTGACTAGACCAAGCTACCGGCAGCCAAAGTCCAAAAGCACTAACCAGAACAACTGTGAACAGCATGCTTGGAACTGGGTGAGAATATTGATCTTCTCTCTTGTTTTGTAACCAATTTCTTGAAAAAGATCCCCAAGAAGCAAAAAATCCTCCAAAAGTGAGAAGGGAGAGGACCGCACCCCCACCTGTCCATAGATAGAAGTGGCGATTTAATTTTTATGGGGGACAGAAATATATTGAAATGAAGTTAATAATACTACAGGTTGGATAAATCTGAAAATTATGAAAACTGTTAAGATTTCACATCTGAAAGAGTATTGATGAAATTACAAAAAAAACCAAAGTTTTAAAAGTTGGAAAATGAATAACTACTGACATCTAGTGGAGGATTATAGCATAGAATAACAGCTGCATTGACTCAGAAATTGATAAGATGCCCAGAAATAAAGAACAACTTGTTCTTTGAACCTCAGTGACTTCTAGCCAAATAGAGAACAGCTGGGAACAGAGGAAAGAAAATACACTGGGCCACCTACTACAGAGTGAGAACTATATTTGTTTTAAAAGCTGCTAAATTTCTGGGATTATAAATACTTACTGAGCTGTGATTTCTAAGCTCAAGAATTGTTTGCAAAGAAAGAAAAACCCTGACTTTTGGCTAATCTTCTACGGGGGAACTTACTGGAAAGCTCTTAGGTGCTTTGGTGGTTAAACATTCTGGACTGCAATTTTGGCTGGCTGATAATTGTAAGATCCCTGAATAGAAGAACTGTTATAAAATACTGCTTTTAGTGGTGCTTTGACAATTGGAAATGCATTGGATTATAAAAACCATATATATAGATAAAAACTATATAAGATTTGGTTGTTTGGACTTTAAGATTGGCTGGTTTGACAAGGCTAATCACAGAGACTATGGTACCAGTGAAAGACTATCTGGAGGGGGGGAGATAAAATGGATGTTGCATACCTATCTAAATGTGCAGGAAACCACACCTAATATCTCCTTCTGAAGGCCCCAGCCTGGAACATCAGAGATCTGCAGGAGCAATACTCCAAGACAAGGCAAATATTTTCCAGGAGGAAATGTATGCAATGCTGTGATAGATTCAAATGACAATGGTTTCAAATCATGATGAGATTAAAAACAACTTTGATGACATAAATGAGCACATCTTTAACCTAAACTTACAATTTAAAAACCCTCAGAAATTGATGACAAAGAATGAACAAACAAACCAGATAACAGAACACAAACTAGAGGACAGCGACCCAAAGAGGGAAGCTACAAATGAAGAGAACTACAGCTTAATGCAAACAAAAGAAAACATGCAAGCCTTTGCCATAACAATAGAAATGGAAAAGATATTTTATTTTTCAGGACTTCAAAATAAACTTGAAGATAGGAAAGAAGATTTAACAAATTGGATTATAGAGCAGCCAGGAGAATCATTAGAGTTTGGGAGACAAAAAACGTACATCCTATTTAACAGGTCTTTCCTATTCCCAACAACATTCACAAAAATACAGGAAGAATCCCCTGGCAAGCTAAACACTATGAACATTAGAGTTAGATTCAAGAGATTTGATTTGACCTACCAGATGGAGTACTATATGATTAAACACTTGTTTGAATATGGTTAAGAGAATAGATAAATTATGGATATAAAGGGGCTCTACAGCAAGGGGGATAAAATATACAAGTAGTATAGTATTTTTTATAATATATGAATGTAAAAATATTGGGATGGTGTATGTGAATGAAAAGTTTGGATATTTAAAGGTAATTAACTTTGAGCTGATTAGAAAAGATGTTATATACTGATGTTACTGTTATTTGTACAAACACAAGAAAAATGTTTATTCAACCTTGTACGTATCGAAAGTATTAAGAACTATATTTGTTTAATGTTGACAAAAGGAGAATACTACTGGAAGAAGAGAAGATCAAGGAAATATATCATTAATTAATAGATTGATTATGGAATTATAGAAATGAATTATTGTTTTTTAAATATATGAATCCAGACAACACGCTATTTACTTAGCAGTAAAGATTGTTATTGTAAAAATAAAAAATATATATTAAAAAAAGAGATTATGCTGACTGAGATAATGGGAGATGTAGTAAAAGACAGGAAGAAAAATATTTAGGAAAAAATGGGCTGCATAAGTTTTAATTTAAGGGGGAAAAAAAGAAACATACCGATGTGATGACTTCAAGATCTTTCAGGTAAGTCCGTTCTGTAGTGGCAACTTCTTTAGCAATGAAGTATGCTTTGTCAGTTGGAAACCTCTGAAATTAAAAGAGTTGGATGCTGCAAAATTACAGAGAATTAAGGAAAAATTCCCAAGATCAGCAAACAGGAATAGCTATATTCCAAAAATATAAAACTTACAAAACAGTTCTAGAGTCAGAAGTGGTATATATGCATATAAATAGAGGCAACTCTGCCATCACTTCTAAGCCCTATTGCTTATGTAGCTTAAGATGGTGAGAGATAGCATGGACGTTTTTAAAACTCATCTATTGAAAGCAAAGAACTCATTTCTTGAAAGCAAAGAAAAAATGCTAAATGTTCTTTGCATACCTAATAGGTAGAGCCAACATCAGTACCTTTCTCCTGACCTCCTCTTCATCTTCCGTGCGGACTCCAGTTTGATCATTCAGCAAGGGACTGATCAATGGAGAAGCTTGCCTATTATCAGGACTCAAATTAGGAGACAAAGTTGCATTTGCTATGGCTGATCCACCTTGAGAATTGATTGACAGTTCTGAAAGGTGAGGGCTGCCAGCAAGAGAGCCTGCCGAAGGAACAATACAATACATTCAGAAAACTTTAATTTAGTAGATATGAAGATTAAATCCCTTCAACCCATTTAAGTAATAGGGCATCATAAGGTTCAGAGGAACTATTGGTATTTAAATGATTACAATCTTTTTGGCAGAGTTCTCTAAGTAGTAACAAAAACTGTTCTGGATACAGATAACTGGTTGGAATAAGTTTCACATTGCTTGTAGCAATGAAAATTTTTTATTATTCGCTGCTTTCTTAGTCTCTATTGAATTGAATGTAACCAGCTCTAGACATCATGAATAGTTGTGAAAGATGTATAAGCCTTTCTTAGATCTCACATAACAAACAGGTTGCTGTAAACAGTGAAGTTGCTACACCTGTCCTCAAACACTTCTCCTATTGTGTTCCTTCATGCATAGCAGGAAAAAAATAATGTCTCTAATTATAGTTTTGAACAAACTAGTTTTATGTTATGCCTAAATAAAACAATTGATTTGTTCAATGTCCAATCCAAGATTAATCCAAATTTTTCACATCACTGTTTGTGAACTAATTAAAATGAGACAAAACCATATTTATGTAACCAAATACAATGGAAATAGTTGCTTACTCAAAACCACAACTAGGCAATTTACACTACATCCTTTCTTTTGAAAAAGGAAAATGAAGACTCTTGCACTGTTTATGCTTACTTACCTGGAACTGAAGTTGAGTAAAAATCATTTATAAGTAAAAAAGTCAAATTTCTCTACTAATATAATTACTGTTTACCATCAGTTAATAATTACTATCTAATTTATATCATCCAGAGAAACAACGACTGTGATTTATTCATCCCACCCCATCCTAGTCATTACATGCATAGCAAGGAGGCGCAGCTAACTTTCCATCTTCTCCATACATTTCCCTTATAACTTGATCCATTCCTTGAAAAGTGGGTGAATGGTGAAGTCATAAGATAAGGAAGTCCATATTTAGATTAAAAGGAATATTTAATTTCAGCCACTACTTATAATTCCTAGAAGCAACCTAGACTCCCTATGTGTGTACAGTTTCATGAGGGGGCAGAATCACATCCAAATAGGATTTTGCTATATATTTTTTCAGACTTCTATCTTCAGTTTTTAATATCTCAATTAAAGAAGGAATTACTGTAATTTTTGAAAACCCTTTTACTAATGCAGCCTGTCATTTTTACTGCACAAGGTGCTAAAGAAATGCCTAGGAGAAAGTCACATCTAGAACAGATGAAGTAAACTACTCTGGCTACATCCAAGAAAATTAATACAGTATACCTTGATGAGTTGCTCCTTTGATTGTTTGGGATAGAAATGCTATATTGCAACAATAGAAGATGGATTATTTCAAAGCTTGTAATAGGACAGTTTCAAATGTGCAGAGTGATGTTAAGTGCCTGACAGTATACATTTATGGCTATGTAAAATAAAACAGTGAAATAAGTTTCAATTCCCTTTCCTTAGAAGGCAAGTGGGTTACACATTCTGCAAAGGCACAGCATAAAAATCTATGGAGGTTTTTATAATGATACCAGCCATTTCTTTATATAACTTTTCTTATGTGAAGAGAAGGACGAGGGGGGACATGATAGCAGTGTTCCAATATCTCAGGGGCTGCCACAAAGAAGAGGGAGTCAAGCTATTTTCCAAGGCGCCTGAAGGCAGGACAAGAAGCAATGGATGGAAACTAATCAAGGAGAAAAGCAACCTAGAACCAAGGAGAAACTTCCTGACAGTTAGAACAATTAACCAGTGGAACAATCTGCCTCCAGAAGTGGTGAATGCTCCATCACTGGAAGTTTTTAAGAAGAGACTGGACAGCCATTTGTCTGAAATGGTATAGGGTTTCCTGCTTGAGCAGGGGGTTGGACTAGATGATCTCCAAGGTCTCTTCCAACTTATTATTATTATTATTTATTTCCCTTACTTTCCACAGGATTTTAATTTAGAAAAGTGGGTATGCTGTCAGCTAGGAAGTTATTAAGACCCAAAGCTAACTTCAAGTGAAATTCTGCAATGTTTCACATCCATAAATAAATTTTCCTTTTTTGAAAATAATGTTAGAATTCTAATTTGCACCTGAGCATGGAAATACTAGGGAAATATGGCATTTTGACGGGAGCAGGATCTGGGAGTAATTTATTTTTCAGTAATATGTGTAATTAATGCATCTTTAAGTAAATCACCAAGATTCATATCCCATTATCTTTTCCAGCACCAAATTCCAACCCCAAACTACAATGAGAGATTTGCCTGCATTACTTTTGTTCTTAACATGCTAAAAATCTGACAGAAAAGTCACAGCTTGTTAACACAATGTCAATTTTATTGACACTAGTACACAACCTTATACAATATTTTCATAATAAAGTGTCCACATATAAGAAAAAAGAGAGGAAAGGATTTATACTCATAAAAAGATACCTTCTAAGTTTATAACTAGTACATATTCAAACTACATTTACTAAGGAAATGAGGGTGTCATTTTAAATATGAAAGTAAAAAGGCAGGAATTCTGGTGTTATACTGGTCTCATTACAGGATGAAAACATACATTTCATTGTGAAAATATCTAAAGTACCCAAATTAAACATAGTCTAAATCTCAAATTTTTATAGACTTGCCAGAGAAAAATTTAAATAATGGCAAATACACATCATTTTCTATTTATCTGGGAAGTGCTTAAAAAAAGGAAGTTCTACCCCAAAGGTGTTCGAAAGCTCTGGTATTACATAGTATCCCGTATAGGGCTTTGGGGAACTTTCAGATTCACCTTTCTACTGGGGCTGCACAGAAGCCCCACATACAGGAATCCAAATTGCCCCAGGGAGCTAAGAAACTCATTACCCCAGTCTAAGTATTGTAAGAATTGGCATTAAGCACTTATCTGTATTAAGCTGATAGGTGGGAGACTGTAATAATTGAGCAGTGAAGGCTCAATTAATGGATGAATCCAAACGTATCTGGATTGCATTCCTAGAAGTTTTACTCAATATTGATCACTTATCAAAATATCTGGAAATCGAAAGATCATGAATATATTCTAGGCCAAAAGGTAACAACTATAATAGATTTTTAGGTTCTAATTTTTTTCTTTTCTAAATATGCATTTCTAGCAAAATTAATATTTTGTACTTTGCATGCCAAATAAATGGATTACTTTGTATTTATCAAAATGATCATGCATATCAGTGTTTTCTACTTTGCTTCTAAGAAAACCATTTCAAAGGGAGAAAGCTCCTATGTTTAACAACAGTTGGGATTTTTTTGTTTTGAATAGCTCTTACAAGGAATAATCTTCATGTAAAAAACTGATAATGCAAAACATTATTATACTATGCAAAACATTATTATACTATTATAATCTGAAGGTGTGAAATGCTTGCTATGCGCTGCATATTTTTATGCACAAATGTAAAATTTCTATAAAAACCAATGACATTTTAGTGCCCCCAAGAATCACACCTCAATTTTAAATTGATATCATGTGCGTTATTTTCCCTGTAAGCAATGTAGGGAACTTATTGTTAATAAATGATTACGTTCATGATTATGTTCATGTAGAGCTTTGCCACAGTAGTAAAAATGGCGCTAATTCCTTTAAGGGGCTGCATCATTATATAAATTAATATTCAATCTTTTACTTTATTCACAGGACTGAAGATGTTTCATTGCTTTATGCCTGTGCAACAAGGCCTTTTCCAAAATCAGATGTCCAGAAGAATATAGCAGATAATGCATGATTCCCTAAAAGAATTCTTCACAAGTGTATGAAAGGTTAAGCTTTCCTTTAGACTTCTAGATGTCATTAAATTAGAATATTTCTGAGCATTCCTAGATTATGTTCCTACAGACCTCATAAATATTTATTATTTCAAATTTTGCTTGATATTAACTCAAGAGAGAAATGGAAATGTATTTCACATTCATGTTCATAAATAGCAGATGAAGTAATTTGCTGCCAATCAAACAGCTTATTGGTGCTGTGATCTGAAAATAACTTGTGTTTTTACGATATTGCATATCACCATCAGTACTTTCTTTTCCCCAATCAATAATTGAAACTTCTATGTTTGGGAAGGTAGAATCATGGTTACACTGATTTAACCATTATGGTTTTGGAAAACGTTAGAAAGAGGTTACACAATTTTGCATGCCTGTTTCATAAACTGCATGTATACAAAGTATGGTGCTTTTAACCATTTGAACAGAGATGTTTTAATTGTGCTCAAGAATCTTTGTAATAGACTTTGCATTGGTCTATTAAGTAGAGCTATTTTCAGTTGACAAACAACCAGAACCAAAACCAAAACTTTTGTTAGCTGCTCCAAATGGACATCTTCAAAGAAAGATACAGCTAAGATACATTCAACAAAGAATGTATTAGAAAAATGCAGGTACAAAATCACAATGAAAAATGCAGGTACAAAATCAGAGCTCAAAAGCTGGCACCCTTGATGGTTCTAATTATAAGCCTGTGATAAATTCTATTACTATTATTATTATTGAATCTCTTCCTAATTCAATCATACAAGAAAGTTGCATGAAGGGATAAAAAGGGCCGTAGAGCCTAAGAAATCAATATTCGTATTCTGCCCCGAATCAGAATGGCATAATATACAGTATCTTCCCATGGAGAAAAAGTATCATGTTAGGAGGTAGGGAACAGTGCTCATGTTTTCTTCTCCCCACCTCAAAAAGAAATTCAATTTGGGCAAAATTATTACAGTGTTAAAGGAACAGAAATATTTTTCTGACTTTATTAATAATAATAATAATAATTGCTGCTCGGGAAGTGATATAGTGTATTACCCACAGGGAAAAATGGGAAGGAAGAAAAAGCTGGATTCCTAAGCTTAACAAGGAAAACCATGATAATGGTGATGGTGAATGATACTGTATATGAATTTGGAAGATCATACTGAGAACACATACTTGGTCAAGCAATTCAGCCAATAATTTCAGAGCACAATAAGCAAGAGAGTGTTTT